GCAGTAGTCCAGGTGAACGGGGGTAGTGGCAATGGCAGCAGAAATAGAAGCAGACTGATTTAATGATGTATCTTGGAGATAGAATCAAGAAGTCAACAGGATTGACTGGATGCAGGAGGAAAGAATGACTGAGGCTTTTGGTTTGTGGGGTTTGGTGAATGATGAGAGGAAGCCTGTAGGAGCAGCAGGTTTCAGCAGTTCTTTTAGCATCTATCAGAGTGGTTATTATGCCAAGTAGATAATTATTATAAGTCTGAAGTTGATAAATCTGAGCTGAAAATGTAATACATTTGAGAGTCATCAGGATGTATGATGAGGTGTGATAAAAAAAATGGTGAATATTTAAATTTTAAAAGTTATTACACATTGCCATTAATCCCCCTCAAAATACTCCCCCTCACTTCGAACACACTTATCCTATCGTTCTTGCCACTTTCTGAAGCAGTTCTGTAAGTCCTTTTTTGTGTCTTTAGTTGCACTGTGGTGGCTGCCTCAATGTCCTGAATCAATTCAAAACGTTTACCTTTTCTGGTCATTTTGACTTTGGAGAAGAGCCAGAAGTTACACGGTGCCAGATCCAGTGAATAAGGTGGATGAGGACACACCGTAATGTTTTTATTTGACAGAAATTGCCATACCAGAAGCGGTACATGACAATAATGAATTGATATGAGAGCTTATGAATGGATTGAGAGCTTACCATGTGCCAGGAAAGTTACCAGACTCATGGACATTCCATTCTAGTTCATATTTCAGAACCGTATATAACAGAATTTATCAGTCAGCGGATCCAAGGTTTGGAGATGCTAAAGTACATAGGAGCAATAGGACTGCTGGAATATAGATGCTCCTCAATTTAAGAGGAGTTGAAAACATAAGCTGGAAAATGCATTTAATACTACACTATAGAGTATTGGTTATTTACCATTGTAATTTCGTGGCTGACTGGGAGCTGCAGTTCATTCACTGCCACTGCCTAGGATCTCAAGTGTATTATAGTGACTATCACTAGCCCTGGAAAAGATCAACATTCAAAATTCCAAGTACAGTTTCTACTTAATGTGTATCACTTTCACACCATCGTAAAATAATATAAAAAATTCCTAAGTCAAACCATTGTTAAGTTGGGGACTGTCTGTATTGCCTGGAGGAGTGGGGTGAAGAGGTCAGGGAAGGGGCAGGGGAGTGGCAGGAGACCAGACCAAAAAGGAAGATTTTGAAAGTCATGCTGGGAAGTTTAGATTTTTCCTGAAGGCAATTTAGAGGCATTAATCAGGATAGTCATTTTAGAGACTTTCTTAAGACCAGAGTTTGGAGGATAAATGGAGCTGAAATAGACCAGACACTCAGAAACCAGTTAGAAAGATTTTACATGAATCCAAGGAAGAAAAGAAGGAAATAAAAATAAGGTATGTGCTATGAATATAAAAAATGGAGAATAGACTTTAAACATTTCAGAAATCCAATAACAACGTGTACAGGTGGATATGGGGACTTAGTACAAGGAAGTATCAAAGATAACTAACTCAACCCTAAACTCCAGGCTTTTGTTTGGTGATAACATTTACTGGGAGGATGAAATAGGGGATGTTCTGAAGAGGAGGATGTTCGGTTCCATTTCACATAAGTCATGGTATCTGAATGAATATTTGGTGGTGGAGAACTTTAGGGAAACAGCTTCAAAAGCAAAATTGCAGAGGGCTAAGAAGTTAGTAGAAGCTGAAGCAGATAGTGTAGACTACACTAAGCAGTTTTGGAACAAATGTGGGCAACAGATGGCTGGGTTGATCCATGGTTGTGGTTTGACAGAATGAGAGGTCTTGGAAAGTCAAGTGAAGTAATAGGTTGGTATGAGAATGTGTTGGAAATATTCCTAGGATCCAGTGGGTAAAATGAAGCCAAAAGGACCTAAGACCTAGACCAGTGATTCTTTTTTTGTTTTTGTTTTTAAGATTTTATTGGGGAATTGGGGGAGGGGAACAGTGGTGGGGAATTGGGGAAGGGGACAAGCCTTCAGTCTTCAGTCTTCGTTGTGGAGGGCACCAGTCGCCATCTGGCTGCCCTTCAGCAGCTCCTGGCCTCTAAGCTCAAGGTTCTGTGTTCAAGCTTAGTTGCAGGTGGGCGTAGCCACCATTCCATGCAGGAGTCGAACCAGCAGCCTTATTGTTAAGAGCGCACTCTCTATCCACTGAGCCATCCCGGTGGCAGCTCAGCTCCAGGTGCCGAGTTCAGTGTTAGTTGTGGGTGGGCATAGCCCACCATCGAACAGGCAATCTTGTTACACCAGCTGAACCATCTTGCCACCTGTTGGCAGCTCAGCGACAGCTCAGGCTCAGCGTCACTGGCCCATGTGGGAAACGAACTGGTGGCTGTTTCTCAGAGCTCGCGCTCTTAAGCCAACTCTTAACAACTGAGTCACTTGGCCGGCCCTAGATCAGTGATTTTTTTTTTTAACTTTAAGAAAAAATTTCCTTTTATTAAAACCTCTTTTTTTAATTATTTTTTATTGTGAAATACACATTTTTTAGAATTTGTTTCAGCTGTACAACGCAGTGCAATAGTTATACTTTTTAC